AATTCAGGATCCTTCTTTTGTCTTCAAATTTTGCACCTTCTTTCCACTCTTTGGGTTCACCAACTGTACTTTGAGTGATCAAGACCTGTTTGAGCTCAGAATATATCTAATCTAAACTATTTACAAGAATTTAACAAACTAATCTATTACACCAAAAGTGTGTAATTTCCATAGTAATGATCAAGCAAAACTAATTAAAAACACAAACATGCATATGGAAATTATAAACGTATCAAGAACATATGCATATAGTAGGACCAGATAGGCATGATTTGAGGACAATTATAAAAAATGTGGGCAGTGGTGATAGAATCTTGTTTGCAAAAAGGGCATTGAGAGGGGAAAGAATGTATATTGAATCTGACTAGATTCTCAGGGAGAGGGATGATGTTATGAAAAAGTTTCCACATAAACAGTTTTATAGGCATGAACTATTTAGGATGCCAAATGTGAGAACTAGAGAAAGTTACTAATTGTTTTTCTCTAACTTCCTGAAATGCAGAGGACAAAGAGAAGTTGCCATCAGAGGAGGGAGTCCAAATGAGCTGTCCATTCTGAGTATCCACAAGATCTAAGCCTCTCTCATGAACATGACAAATCATCTTCCAAATTGGTGAATCAGGTAATTTGGCCACCATATTTCCATCTCTAGGGTACCTTGCATGCATATAGTTAGCCCAAAGGGATGTGTTTGTATACCAGTTCCACCAAATCTTTAGTGAAAAGGCCTTCTGAGTATCATGTAGAGACCTGAGTCCCAAACCCCCTTCATCAAAAGGATAACAAAGATTTTTCCATCTTTTCCAATGAAATTTATTAACCTCACCATATGATCCCCAAAAAAATGTGGCCATTTTACCTTCCATTATTCTCATCACTGAGCTAGGTAGTTTAGAAACTGCAAAAACATGTATAGGAATAGCTGCCAGAACATGTTTAATAGGTATTAACCTGCCACTCTGGGATAGAATCTTCTTTTTCCAATTTGAGAGTTTCCTATCAAAGGAAGCAATAAGATCCTTGCAGAATCTTAACCTGTTAATTCCATGATATAAGTAAGCATCCAGATATTTGATAGGAAGCTTTGAGCATTTCATATTCAGCAGTTCAGATAAATGTTCCATTCTGTGTTGTGCTGTTTTCTTACCAATAATAATTTGACTTTTATTGTAGTTTACTGCCTGACCAGAAGCATGTTGATAGGAAGAGAGAAAGTGAGAAAAGTTTAATAAGGATCTGGCACTCCCATTTAAGAAGATCAGGAGGTCATCTGTGTAACCAAGGTGGGAGATAATTGGAGCCCTTCTGCTAACCATATAAGGTAAAATCTTACCTTTACTGATCAAGTTTTTCAAACCTCTTGAGAAAGCTTCTGATGTCAGAATGAATAAGTAGGGGGAGAGGGGGTCACCTTGTTTTACCCCTCTAGTAGGTTTAAAGAAACCATAAGAATATCCATTCACCATTACAGACATGCGAGTGGCCCCTAAATTATTCATAACAATTTTGATAAAAGCATTAGAGAACCCAAATCTGACAAGAATATCTCTTAAAAAAGACCAAGAAACTCTGTCAGATGCTTTGGCCATATCCAGTTTGATTGCAATGTTCCCTCCCCTGACTTTATTATCCAAAGCATGCATGAGTTCCTAGGTCCCATCTTCATTCTGTATGGTAGTTATATGCTGTCTTTTGATTTTACCTTTAACATAATTGTGAAAAGTGTTGGTATTACTATCACCCCCTTTAAGCCACTTGATCCTTGCTCTTTGTTTCCAAAAACTTTTCTCCTGTTTATAAGCCAGAATCAGGTCAACTTGAGCTTTATGCCAGCTAGCTCTATTAGCCTCATTAGGATTTTAATCAAACTCTTTTTCAATTCTCTCAACATTAGTCTCACAAGACTTAATTTTTTGGAAAATATCTCCAAACACGGCTTGATTCCATTCTTTGATATCCCTTTTAAGATATTTTAACTTCAGAAAAAGCCCTCTCATGCCTCTTCCAAAATTATAATTATTCCAACTTTTGGCCACAAAGTCTTTGAAATTTGGGTGCCTAACCCACATATTTTGAAATCTGAAGGGCTTAGGGCCAGAATAATTGCCCAACCTGCACTTTATAAAAATTGGAGCATGGTCAGAAGTAGTTTTGTTAAGGTGCTTGATGAAAATACTCCCAAAACTATCCTGAAAACCTTGATTTATTAAGATTCTGTCCAACCTTCTCCACACCCTTCCATTGCTTCTCATACCAGTCCAGGTAAACTGACTTCCCACCCAGGGTAAATCAATGAGATCACAATGGGAAATATTGTCATTAAACTCAGCCATACTAACAAAATCTGGAATAGACCTCCATTTATGCTCCTCATAAGAAGTGATTGCATTAAAGTCCCCTCCAATAATCCAAGGCCCTGGATTTTTATCATGCCAATTTCTAAGAAAGTTCCAAAGATCCCCTCTCTCCCACACTGAACACTTACCATATACAGAGGTCAGCCAAAAAGAAAATTTATCCATACTCACATAGCAATGTAAGAATTGGTCCCCATGAGAAAACTGGGAAATATTTAAATATGAAGAATTCCGGTAAAGCCACTGTTTACCAGAAGGATGAGTCCAACAGTCTGACAAACCAAGCTCCCTTGTAAAAGAAATACCTTAACTATTATCCACCATAGGTTCACAAATAGCTGCTAAATGAATATCCAACTGCTTAATTAGGTTAGAGAGCCTTGTGCAGGAGGAAACAAGGCCTCTAGTATTCCAAAAGATGCAATTCATGAGGAAACAGTCAAATTAGTTTTTGACAGCCTTTTGGCTGCGTGTCTTGTAATTATTGAGGACGCTTCTGGAGGAATTCTAGGTTGTCTCTTCCTTCTTGTAACCTGAATGAAACCATCATTAGGATCTTGTGGTATCTGACTTGCTTGATCTCCATGTATTAGTTTATTTGCCTGCATTTGAGCCTCTTGCTTTTCTTTCTGTTTAACAATATATCCTACCCTTCTTTGCAGGACTTTCAGCACCTCTGACCAGGTCTCCTTATCAGAGATATTTGGTGGAATTTCCCCCTCTGAGGCATACCCTTTTGATAGCAGAGTACTGTCAAATTCTAAACTGTTTTGAATTTGATGTAGGTTGGAGTCATTATATGGGGAGCTAACCACTTATTTAAATGAAGGAACTAGACCTGGTATCTCCATCATCAAGATTTGCTTTGTAGAGAATTGCTTTTTCTCTACTGCCTTCTCACTTAACTTTGTTTTATCAGGGCCTTCGTTGCTAGCATGATGTTGAAGTAGAACCATTTGTCTGCTTGTTCCTGGATCTTGCAATGGGGATTCCATTTATATCTCCTCCACATCTGTGCCTGTATCTGATGTGCTCAAAGTTGCTATAGCTTCTACCATCTTCCCTTTCCCTTTTTCCAGTGCAGAAAGTTTTTTTGTGTCTCCTTCCATTGTAATTTTGTTTTTCTATACCCATTTCTCTGTTGGCATTGTAATATTTTTAGATTTATCATGTTCTATGTTGATGTCTCCCGTTTAGGACATTGTGAAACCAAATGTCCTAAGTGAAGACATTGGGTGAAGTAGAGAGGCCTGTTTTCATATGCCACTGGTTGAGAGAAACCAGATGAGCCACAGTTAATCCAAATTTTATGGGGCATTTCCTTCGTTAGGTCTAGCTCAACACAAACCTTAGCGACAGATGGCCTTGACAGGTTAGATGTGGCCAAATCAATTTTCAAAGGTGAGCCTATGAGACTGGCAATGCTAAAGAGGGCTCTCTTGTCATGTAAATGTAGAGGCAAGCCTTCAAATGCGATCCAAACGGGAACCATAGGAGATTCCACGTTTGGGCGAAAATCGGGAGTCCATTTAGTTACTCTCATAGTGTACTCATAAATATTCCAAGACTGTCGATTCCAACACCTTAAGTAGTCTTCTTCCATGTCAAAACGTATAAGAACATATTTTTTTCCCAACAATCCCAGATGGAACAAGCCTTTAAAGCCAATTAATTACCTCAAACGCTTTCCGCAAATTCTCAATATTAGGTCTGCCTTGATAGAAATATCCTATCAACGAGCGTTTGTGACGATCTGCCATAATATGGACATCCTTCTCAGTGAAACTGAGCGTTGGCAGTCCCTTGAAGCGAGAGGTTGTAGTGTTAAGCTTATCATCTGATCTGTTTGCCACCACATCAACAAAGGATTTACCAGCCCAGGGGTTGCCACCGGGGGCGGCTGCGCCATCGTCGAAGGTGCTGTCATCGGGAACCCTGTATTCTCGTGTCACCGTCGTCGGAGGTGTTGTCATCCCAAATATCCTCCTAAATCCTAAAGTATATGTAGAAGTGCATATATAACTCTGGACTTTTAAAAAGGTGTAAAAATACCCCTCATTTTTATAAAAGAGCAAATTTACCCTTACTGACTTTAAATTGATAAAATAAATTTCAAAAAATACCAAAAACAAATAAAAAATCTGAAATTAAAAAAAAAAATTGTACTTGTGGTGTCAAACTCTCCCTTTTATTGTTTGTATATCATAATTTAATATTGATAGTATAAAATATTATTTCAAAACATTACTATATATTTAAGATTCTTTCGAAAAAGTGTTAACATATGTGTTGCAATGTAAAAAAAATTGATTTTTTGCATTCTTTGCACCATAAAAATTACATATTTTGTATGATGATAAATAGTCCAAGATTACAAAATAGTGAATTTAATTTTATTAACGTTAAACAAAATCAAAGAATGTTATTTCAAAACATGTATCAATGTGTTTAAAATTTCGCAACAAGACTAAAGTTAAATTTAATGAATTTGAAGTGCTTCATTTACAATTGAAAAATAATAATTTTGCAATTTAAAATTAAAGAGTTAATATTTTAACATATAATAGATATTTGTTTTTAAATTTCGAATATATATTTTTTGTGTTTTTTGAAATCTATTTGATCTATTTAAAGTTAATAAGGGTGAATTTGCTCCTTTATAAGAACATTAGAGATATTTTTGCACTTTTTAAATGTTGATGTGTATATATGCACTTCAACATATACATCAAGAATATTTTTACTCCGAAAAATAGAATAGATGTATATTTATTCTCACACGAATTATATAAAGTATACTCCCTCCGTCCCTATATAAAAGTATTCATTCTTTTTCCACACATTTTAAGAAAGTGGGATTGATTGGTACTGTTTGACACTGTTTGAACACTATTTGACACTGTTTGACACTGTTTTGCACAGTTTTCTTTGCCAAAAAGGAAAGAAACTTTTATTTAGGGACGACCCGAAAAGGAAACATATCCTTTTATTTAGGAGTGAGTATTTATATAAACAAATCAGTGACACGAAAAAGAACACATGAGAATTAGCAGCCCCGCAATTCCCTGAATTCGGCCGACATATATTTAATTAAACTCCGCCGAGTCAATTTGCTTCACTCAAACCTGTCCATCCCATGTCTTCTTGTTGAGCCCAAAACCAAAATTTCCCCCTATTCTTCCTCTTCTTCTTCATTCCTCTGAAATTTCTTCAAGAAAATAATTTCTCCAACAAAAATGAGAAACAGCAACCATTTGATAGGTGCCATAAACTTTCTGACATTATTAGCATCAATTCCCATTCTTGGTGGAGGGATATGGCTGAGCAGCAGAGCGAACTCCACAGACTGCATGAAATTCCTTCAATGGCCGCTCATAGTCATAGGCGTGTCAATCATGGCCGTCTCTCTTGCTGGATTTGCTGGGGCTTGTTACAGGAATACTTTCCTCATGTATCTTTACCTTTGGGCCATGTTCTTCGTCATTGCTGCCCTTATTGGGTTTGTCATCTTTGCCTTTTCTGTCACTGATAAGGGTTCGGGTCGACCCGTTTTGGGCCGGCGCTATATGGAGTATTACCTCCAGGACTACTCTGGGTGGCTTGAGGAAAGGGTCACAAGTCAAAGCTACTGGACAAAGATCAGTTCTTGTATCAGGGATTCAAATACCTGTGGCAAGCTGGGAAGGTCTGTTTATGGCTTTCCTGAGACTGCTGATATGTTTTACCACAGACATCTCAGTCCTATTGAGGTATGTTAATGTTATGAGTTATGACCCAACACTCCCCCTTTTTAGTTTTTTTTAATAAATATTTTTAATTCTCAGTGTTTTTTAGTTGGAGAAAAAAAACTAATTACTTCTCCGTTTTTGGGTAAGATTTGTCCTTAAAGTTAAAATTGAGTAGGGTGGAGTTTGATAGCTTTCATATTGATAACCTTTGCTGCTATGGAGTGGACCTTTACTGCACAAGAAAAAAAGTCTGCGTTTTCTATTTAATTTTTAAAGAAAAAAGATCCAACTTTATTGAAAATAATTGGACAAAGAAAAAAAGTGATAAAGTTTGCAGCTTTGCGTTTTCTTGCATGATTGTGGAAATTCATTTACTTTTTTATGGAACTGAATCATTCAAGGATATTTCATATCCATATTCATCCCATTAGAAACATTCCCCACTCCCCAGGCACTTTATGAAGAAAAAAGGAAAATTAAAAAAGAAAGGTTATGGTGATCATCTTTTTTACATTGATATCATCGAACATAATATAGAGACATTTCACCAGCCAGCTATTTCAGTTGTCGTTTTGTGCTAGTGACACAAATGATGAGATGTCAAGATCGTTAAAGTAGATACTAGTTGTGTAATGCGTAGTATAATAAAGAAAAAAAGTGATTTCTATCCTCTTATTTGGCTCTATTTTTTATTGATCGATCCGAGCTCTTTTTGCCTTAATCCATTTTTTGCCATTTTCAAATTTCCCATTCATTTTTGTGGACTGTAAAGTTAAATGGAGCTCTTGGCGTTGTTGCTCGTTTGGTAAGTCTGATTTAGCTAAAAGCCTAAAATTTCTGAGTCTACTGAATTTCATGCAAGAGAGTTTGGCTTATGCAGAAGCAGATGGCTACCAAGCTGACCCTTAATCATTCGAATTTGGCGTGCCTTTCTTCAAACCATCAAGATCCTTCCTTCTTCTTGTTTCCTCCCACCCCCTCCCCCTAAATGGCAATTGGTACAAATTTGACTTGAAGCCTATAGTTAACATTGAGAGTCTTCACTCACTAGAGGTGGAAGGGTTACACTGTCACCACATTGCGCCACCTAACCATGACAACTATTAGTTGTAACCGTGCTCGTCATAATTCTTGTGATGCCATGTATCTGGCGAGCGGTGTAACCCTGGCGAGCCATACCCAAGTAGGTACTTTTGAAGTGGTGCAAATGAAAATGAAAACTTGCAAGTTAAACTCGCTTCATTTTTTTGTAGTTGCAACTGTAGATTTTTCACCAAGTTTAGTGGTAAAATAGAATGCGTCTGTGGGTAGGGAATAGTACAGAAAAAAGAGAAAAACCCAGAGAAACTCATGACAAAAGAAGATTTATTAGGAAAGAGAATATAAATATATAAATGAGCAGAAAAAGATGGGGAAATTGACAAAATGTACAAAAAATGGAAAAGTATGGTAAAAGTAGCCAAATCAGAAGTATTAAAAGTCTGCAAAAACGAATTTGAAGCATCTAAATAAAAAGGAAAATTAAACTAAACCCGAATTTAATGTCCACAAAGGCACAAACAGCTACCATACCTGCTCTGACACGGTTAGATCTTACCTTTGTAACATAATTAATAAGCATGTTATACATGGTATGACAGTATGACACTTATTTAATGTAAATTTGGCAGATGGACCCTTTTGGATATTTGACCATTCATGAAGCAGTATGAACATTAATTCTTCTTCCCTTCACAAAATGTTGTCGTCTTTGTTCTGGGGTAAGTTGTCAGTGTCTCAGTTTATGAAGACCCATGACTTAAATGGCTATTTAATTACCCACAGTTGAAGATTTTTTTAGGTCTAATTTCCTTCAGGTCTCTATAAAAAACAATGAATAATTAGATAAAATTTCAAAATTTATCAAACTAATTCTTCAATCATCATTTTCATTTACCCCAGTGCCGCAAAGGCTCCCCCACCTACGGTGGGGTAAGGGAAAAAATCATAGACCTCAATGAATTGAGGTAGTAAGCATTTTGTAGCAATAGGATTAGGTCCCTTTGCAAAATTGACAAGGATTATGACCATTTTAATTACATTCATCGTGGTTTCAAATCAAAGAAAACGTGTTCCCTACTTTGATTGTTATGTTGATGACTAAACTGAGCTGGGAAAAAGATATGATATTTTGTATCAGCCACACTCTCCAATTTTAGGGACCCAGCTTATTAACATTAGATGGAAACCATGTGATAATTGCTTTCTCACAGCTTCAGCAATTTTCAGCACATTCAATAAATTTTAGTATTACCAAACACGCTCTTACCAACTTTTGGCCTGTTTTTTTGGCCAAAAATGATTGCTACTCGATACTTTTCCTTTTCAAAAAAAAAATGTGTTCAGTCATTTCAGCCAAACACAGTGATTGGTATCTTGTCAAAAACTAAAATTTTTATATGGAAGCAAAATAATACAGGCTCTTACTAATGAGTTCGCGACTTGGTTGTAGTCTGGATGTTGCAAGCCACCCACAGCCTGTGGCTATATATATGGGAACGAGACATACTGGAACGTGGGAGCGGGAACCTTTGGAGCAGACCTAGATTGCCAAAGATGGAGCAATGATCAAGAACTGCTCTGCTATAACTGTGACTCTTGCAAAGCGGGTATACTAGCCAGCCTGAAGAAGAGCTGGAGGAAGGTTTCTGTAATCAACATCGTCATACTAATCATCTTGGTGATCATGTATGTGGTTGCTTGTGCAGCATTTCGGCACGACAAACGTATGGACAATGACGAGTCTTATGGTGATGCCAGAATGGAAAAGGCACGACCCTCCAGGATACAATTTTAGGAGCTTGAGACAAACTAAAGTTCAAATAATGTATTTTAATGGCTTGGTTTGCCTCAGGCTTCTTTATTAGATGGAGTTGTATTAGTTGATATGCCTTTGTACTTTGAAACCGACTAAAAAGCGCTTAAATATTGCTTGTTTGGTGTGTTATTAATATCGATGTGATTTACTTCCCCATAAGCAACTCTTCAGGAGTATCTCATCTGTAAGAAATGTCATTATCTATAATGGTTGGTGATCAGTGGTCATGAAGATGATGAAATAAAGTAGATACACTTTACAGCTTTGGGTGAGTAAAAGATTCATATTCAGTATCTTCTTCATATTGAAAAAGAAGATTGCAGTCTAGAAAATATTCAAATTAAAGAGCCCCTGTAAAGGATTCCTTAAGAACATTCTTATAATTACAAATAAAAAAGTAAACCCCCACCATTTCCTTAAAGAACCGAAAAAGTCATGTCACCAATTCCAAACACATCATTAGAGGTGGACTCGGGCCGGGTGGCCCGACCCGGAACCGGCCCGGGACCGGTACTGTTCCGGCCTGGCCCGAACCGTTGGCCCGGCCAGGGACTGGTCCGGGTAGGCCCGGTCCGGTGGTTTTACGGTGCGGGCTCGGGTCCCCCAAATGATGAACCGGCCCGGTCCGATTCCGGGCCCTTTTCTTTTGTTTTTTTTTTCATTTTTTTTTATTTTTCTGGGTTGGGCTGGGTGTTTTGGATCATTTGGGGTGGTTTTGGGGGGTGGGGTGAGGGGGGATTAGGGGATTAATTAGAAAAAAAAATATAGGAAGTGGCCCGAGGCCCGACCCAACCAGGCTCGACCCGGGCCGGTTCCGGTTCACAAATTTTCAAATAAAAGCCCGGCCGGGCCCAGGCCCGAACCGGAACCGGCCTGAGTCCACCCATACACATTATGGATGATGGTTCGTAAATACGTAGTAAAAAGTAGACCCAAGTAGACCCGTTTAAATTGGTGCTTCGTTTGTAGAAGGTGTTACTATCCAATTAGATAATGTGACATGACTTTTTCGGTTCAGGTAATTAGCTTGGTAATATATTTGGATTTTAAAAGTAGACCACCCCTAAGCCCACCAATTTACTTCTTACAATTTCGAAATAAAATGTAAAAGATGGAGGAGGAGACTATTACCATTTTCATGAGTATTAACTTATTGTCTTGGTAATATTTTGGAAGAATGACTCAAAATAATACCAATTATTCGATATAGACTAAAAATAATACTCTTTCATTCCATATAAACATTTTACTTTCCTTTTTCGAACGTCTCATATAAAGGTTCTCGTTTCTATTTTAGGAAACAACTAACACTTCTAAATGACAACTTAATCATCAAATATTAAAAATAATACATCTATTACATCACAATATCACCATTAAGCCCATTATATTATGTATCTATCAAAATTATTTCTCAAAATATACTCAAGTTATCATATTTAATTATTGCCTAAATAACCATGTCATTTTGTAATGTAATAGGAACCTTTCAACACGATAGAGGTAGTATCAACTAAAAAATATCATAACTCAATGGATGGATTATTTTAATATATTCAGGTATAAAATCCAGTCAAAGACTTGTCATGGACTCATGGTTGGCTGAGGTGTGATCGGTCCTCAAATGTAGTGATCCCAAAATAAACTTCAATTTTTTCTTTTTTTGTCCGTCTGAATATAAATTTATTTTTCTTTTTGACAAAGAAGAAACATTTCTTCTCACAATCTCATCCACATAACTTTAGACAATGCAATTCACACTTTAATTCCTATGCCAAATCAAACTAAGAGTAAAATATGAGATGGAGGGAGTACTATTTTGGCTTATAGCCAATAATAATTGGGATTGATTTTTGTCTATGGACATTAGTCACAAAATGTGATCGTATACTGAAATTTGGCTTTCAATATGTTATTTCAAAATTTGGAATTATTTTTATATAAAGTAATGTGGGAGTCCATTGAATGTGATACCAGAGAATGTTATAACATGAACTAAACAGCCCCCGATGATAAATCGCCACTCACAACAAAGGAAGTGGTTACACTCAAGGAATTTGCCATAATTTTAAAATTTTCTACTCTTAATCCTCAGCCTACACATCGTGATCTTCACAAAAAACTACTACTGCACTTATTCTCTATTGAAAAAATTAGAAATCCAATCAAGCAATTTCTACCAGGCTCAGCATGGGAAAAGAAAACCAAGCACAGTTTCGAAGGTCAAGTGCTAATCACTTTGTCTTCACGGCATTGTTCTGGACTCCATCTACTAATGGTTCTCTCTTCAATAGTGCAACCATCTAAGCTTAACGGTGATTCCACATCACCAATACTGTGTTTCTGCACATAAAGAACTAACAGTGTTTTGGCCACACTCCCACAAAGCCGGAGAGTGCATTGATAGTCAGACCAGACCCTCAAACGACTGTTTTCGTTGCTTCCTTCTTCGAGGGACAAAACAAGAACTGCATATTCTGAGTGCACCAGAGAAGGATGATGGCGATAAGCCACAAAGTCGACACCATACTGACTCCCTGATCTAACCACCCAATTCTTTGACCTGAGATGACAATATGCTCTGCATAAATTCGGAAAATTTTCCCTCTGGGATACCATATGCTTCCATACCTCCTCGATACTAATCTCGTGTTGATTCTCATCCACAAGTTTGATGCATTTTAAAGAACAGGTCAAGTAAAATGCTTCCTCCAGACCAAATTGAAACCACTGACTGTTGTTCTGAGCAGATATGATAGGCCTGCCAAAACACGCACGGTTGAGAAGATTGGTGTTCTCTACATTGGCTTCAAGAAGAACAGTGGAGCCAGAAAGCAATCCTGTAGAGTTGGATTGGAGGAAAGAAGACTGAAGCTGTGATACTATGCTAGACATGGGATCTGCAATGGCTTTATCTTCTGCTCCCTTTCCTTTCCACCGTGGCCCCATTGTATATTCTTTACAGATAATTCAAACTTCAGAATGTTTCCTCATGCTCACCCATGTTTTTCCTTTCATGAAAGTCATTCCTTTTATTGTTATACAAGTCATATATTTCATACTCGTAGTAATTATAATTGACTTTCCAAGCGTTTTCAATCAAATTATCATTACTATCATTTTCTCATGAACTAACTCAAGTACTCAACTACGTAGTATATTGTAACCCTCAATTTAGAAGGCAAATGTTTTTAGATTTTAGACCTACACCACATAGATTATAATTGTATTTCATCTACAAAATATAAATCTCATAAGGTTAGTGTGACTGACGGGTCATAGGTTCAAGCCTCGGAAGCTGCCTTTTGTCAAAATGACAAGGGATTGCTTGCTTCTTATACACCTTGTAGTGGGACCCTTCCCGGACCCTTGCCTTGCGAGGACGCCAATGTACACCAGGCTGCCCTCATTTTACTAAATAAAAAACTAAAGTTGAATGTGGGGGCTGTTCTTATTTTTACCAGATGGTTTTGAATTAGCCCCTACAGATCGGCTTTCTCCCGAGAAGAAAGAAAAAATAGGCAATTTGTTGTTTCAGAGCTATAGACCAAAAAAAATATTGTTGTGGTGGGCCTATTCCTAGTCATAAATATAGGAAAATAACCTCATCTATTTTAATTGTTAAATTCTTTTACAACAACAAGACCAAAACCTCTTCCCTTCCTACAGTCAACAATTGGGTCAAATAATTGTAAAAATAGTTGTTGGTCTATGGTCAATTTCATTACAATTCAAATTAATATGGTTTTTCTTTGTACCTCGCAAAAAAGCTTTTTTCTTTTGTTAAATGAACCTTTAAATTTCTTATTTCCTCTCATTTTGGAAATAATTTAGGTTCAAGAATTAAAAAAACTGCACCCATTGTTGCAACACGATTCAAGTAGAAATATTTAGAATTAGATTATGAAAATCTAAATTAAGATCTAGAAGATGTTTTCTTTGGATTTTTTTTTTTATTTTATCTTCACTTAAACTTGCTTAAACTCAAAGATGTTACTATTTCATTCAATAATTCAAATAGATCACAGGAACAAGACTTATTATAACTTATAATAAAAGGCCTTTACACTTTACTTTTGGCTAACCACCAATAAAAAGAACCAAAAGTATTTATGCAACGCCCGCCGCCTGCAACCAGGGGCGTAGCCAGGATGAATGTTTACCCGGGGCCAACTATACACTAAAAAAATTATATAAAAATTTCAAAAGCGTAAATAGTGTGAACATAATGATTAAAATCCATTAAAATTCATAATAATATTTTTAAACAGTACATACAATATTGAAACTAAAACGTTAACTAAACACGACGTTCTTTGACTTTAGCAAACTCATTTATGGCAGACCCAATGTCAATTTTGTTGGCAAATTCCCGGATCCCTCTCAATTACAAGTGCATCAGAAACTACTTCCTCTTGAGCGGATGGGATATTAGGAGTGTCAATTGAGACATTTAACTCTTGTCTTTTTGGTGTGCTTCAACTAGGCTTATAAAACTAGCGCAATGTGATTTTTGCCTTTTTGAAAGTAGATTGAGTAGCCATACCTACTAAAATTAGCAAAAAAAATAAAAAACCAATCAATATTTTATTTTAATTCATATAAATCATATTCATATTTTAAGAAATTGACAAATCACATTTGACATTCCTAATTTTTCATTTCACAATTCAAAGCACACAAATCAATTGTGACACACTAAGTCACTAACACAATTACACAAACTAAAATAACAAATAAAATACTTAAATTAAGCTAAAAATTGTAAAAACAAAAAACTTAAAAACTGAAACCCTTACCTGGCAGTTGGCAGCTTGACTGTGTGGAGACTGGAGTTCTCGAGAGAACTGGAAAAGCAGGTCAGCAGTCAAGCAGGAATAGCAGAAACGTAGCTGCGCAGGACGAGCGGCGGAGCGGAGGAGAGGCGGCGTCCGGCGAATCGGCGATGCGAGTGGTCTGCTGCGCTTGGCGATGGGATGCGTGAAACGTTCGTCTGCTGCGCTTCTTTTCTTTAGCTTTGCACTGGACTGTTTATTTGCACTGAGCCAGTCTTTATTTTGCACCAGGCCAACTCTAAATATTTTTTAAAAAAAATCATATACTCCGTATAATACAAAAAAATTACTCCGTAGGTTACTGCCGCTACCGGCAGGGATGGATTTAAGGGGGACGCTGGGTGCGGTCGCCCCCTTGAACTTTCAAAATTTTCTACTATATATGTAATGTTTTTGTAAAATTTTGATACTTTAATTAGATTCGCCCCCCTTAATTTTTTTGTTGAACATTGCCCCCTTTAACTTTTAGTTTTTAAAATTGATATATAGTCTTACATAATGTAATACTTAATCGCAGATTTAAAAAGGGAACATCTAAAATAATTTACATAACTTAAATAAACAACAGAAGAACTCATTATTTGAGATTTAGGATACTTATTATATAAAAATTCTTAGTTTTGAAATGTTTAATTATCTTTATTCGATAACTAGTAGACAATTTTGAAAAATATATATCAAACGATATTAAATACCAGACACTCTAGTTACAAAGTTTTTAGATCATGTGAAGTAATCCAAATTATAAATGTTTATTGACTTTGAATTACACTATTCATTTACTTCTTACATTCTAAAAAGACTTTATTGCATAGATAATAAACTTTAATTATTTTAGCATTAATACAAATATAATATGCACTATATATATGAATAATCAATATATAGGAACTACTTAGAGCATCTCCAATGGGGATGTTTATTTTCTTACACTCTTACATATGGGTCCCATTTTTTCTCACAAATTTTATCTATAGAAACTAATATCTTCATATTTATTTTATTTTTCATTTTTCTATATCACTTCTAACCTACTTTTCATCCACTTTTGCTCCTCAATTTCCGTATAAAGTCTATTTGTGGACATTGTCATAGACATTATCAACAATTTATCTCTATCTCTCTTCCATTTCATTTTTCATACACATCACTTTCTCTATATTAAATTAAAATAATCATTCCTCTATCTCTCTCCTATACCACGTAGGATAGACTTTACTCCAATCCATTACTCCATTAGAAAACAAATACACAGTCTAATATCAATAGAGAATAGTTATGAATACGATTGGGAAAGATGTCCAGGTACTTTGAAAAAAAAATGGGATGAATTTCCGATGCTAATAATAAAATAGGAAAACAAAGGAATAAAAAAATACGTACTCCGTATATACTCTTAAACTGTTATGTGCTTTAGGTTTCCACTGCAGTGCAGATAACATCAGTTGAGCAACTCGAATATTCTCTGCCTTTCCAATTCCAGAAATATATATAATGCCGACATTCCGCCTTCAGTAAACTCCTTAATACTTTCGTCCCTGTTTTTCTTTTCTCGCTCAGTCCGCTCCTGCTTCCTTACAGTAACGGGTTATTACCGATTGGGCATTACTCGGGTTTTCTCAGTCACCTCCCAGCCCCTTCCGACCGGAAACCCTAGCGCTTCTTTAACCCCTTAAAAGGTTTTCTTTTTCAACTTTTTTGAAACTATTATTATCAAGAGAGCGGAGGGAAGCAGTGTGAGATTGTGAAAAATGAGTTATTGTATGAATTACAGCTGCAAGAATGCAGTATCTAAGCTAATTTCTTCATCACCTTCGCCCCACTTCTTTGCGCATTCTAAGTGTTGCTCGACCAAATTGGATTCTTTTCCTGATTTTACCCGCTTCAGGGAAGTCAGAACGAAGAAGAACGAAACGCATTTGGGCATCCAGTCACGTCCATGGGTCCTGCAATCGGGTAAACGGTTGAGTCCTATTCGATGCGAGCAGAGTGTGGATGCTACATTGGGCTCTTATAATCAAAAGGTGGGGAAGAGGACCGATATAAAAAAGATCTTGATACTAGGTGCAGGTCCTATAGTGATTGGTCAAGCTTGTGAGTTTGATTATTCTGGAACACAGGCATGCAAGGCACTCAGGGAAGAAGGGTATGAGGTGATTTTAATTAATTCAAATCCTGCCACTATCATGACTGATCCAGAGATGGCGGACAGGACATATATTGAGCCAATGACCCCAGAGCTAGTTGAGCAAGTGCTCGAGAAAGAGAGGCCGGATGCTCTGCTGCCCACCATGGGCGGGCAGACTGCCCTTAACCTTGCTGTGGCATTGGCTGAGAGTGGGGCTCTTGATAAGTACGGTGTTGAGTTGATTGGAGCAAAACTTGATGCAATCAAGAAAGCAGAGGACAGAGATCTTTTCAAGCAGGCAATGAAGAATATTGGGCTAAAAACGCCTCCTTCCGGGATTGGGACCACCCTTGATGAGTGTCTCGAGATTGCTAATTCAATTGGAGAGTTTCCATTGATTATCCGGCCTGCATTTACTTTGGGTGGGACCGGAGGAGGGATTGCGTATAACAGAGATGAATTTGAGGCCATATGTAAATCAGGGATTGCTGCTAGTGTGACATCTCAGGTCTTAGTTGAGAAGTCTTTGTTGGGGTGGAAGGAATATGAACTTGAAGTAATGAGGGATTTGGCTGATAATGTGGTTATTATTTGTTCTATTGAGAACATTGACCCGATGGGCGTGCATACAGGGGATTCTATCACTGTGGCCCCTGCTCAGACATTGACTGATAAAGAGTATCAACGCCTTCGGGATTACTCAATTGCTATAATCAGGGAGATTGGGGTTGAGTGTGGTGGTTCAAATGTACAGTTTGCGGTTAATCCTGAAGACGGAGAAGTAATGGTGATTGAAATGAACCCCAGGGTTTCTAGATCTTCGGCTTTAGCCTCAAAAGCTACTGGTTTCCCTATTGCCAAAATGGCTGCTAAGCTCTCTGTTGGGTACTCACTGGATATGATTCCTAATGATATCACGAAGAAGACACCAGCTAGCTTTGAACCTTCCATAGATTATGTTGTCACAAAGGTAATATCTGTCAGCATTAAATATCTCTATGACTACTATGGATACTTGATATGTTGTTTTCGACCAGATCAATTCTTTTTTCTAATGCATCAAGAATATTGTTCTATGCAAAACTATTACTCTCTCCGTCCCAATTTGATGATACCATTGCGGTTTACGATGTTTGACCGACGATGAAGCAAACGGATCCCTGTCCACACTCAAATGATTTTTAGAAAAAAAAAATTACATATTCAAAAACTACATTAAATGCTTTACAAAGTCGCAAAAACCAGAATCAAATTTGATAAAAATTTGATATATAAAGTAAGAGATTAAGAGTGATTTGTGTTGACCAAGTGAATAAGAACATGTACCATCAAATTGGGACGGAGGTAGTATTTTAACATTGTCATCTATAGTAAATGTTTGTCACGCGTTTGATGCATTTAGAGCTCTTTTATACTTAAAATTCACTGCCTTTTGTTCATGATGACTCAAAAAAGGTATTTATTTTAGGCCTTAAATACGGAGTATGTGTTTGTAGTTTAAAGAAACAGAAAATTTGTTTCCACAGTTGTCTCTCTTTTGGCAGTATAGTTTTCTGATGTTTATGCTTATTTCAGTCTACAAAAGTGAATGTTGTTTACAAGATTACTGAAGTGTTTTGCTTATAAAAATGTAGTCTGATGCATGTCTTTTTGCATGTGGCATACCTTGTGCTTATTTATGTCCACTTTTTTGGTTTTATTTGTCCTTTTAGTGAATTGATAGACTATACGTTACCTTTTCTCTATTCTACCCCTCAAAATAAAATGTGAAGCATATGGAAAACATGAAAACATATTTAATAAGGCAAATAAAATAAAATGAGATAATATGGATAAATTTAAAAATGCTATGCAACTTTCTTAATATGCTTGTTTGGATTATATGGAAAGATAAGTAGGACCACATGGAATAAAATCTACTAGTGGTAAGCCTGTAATAAAATTTAAAACAGATTTTTTCACTGTGCAGTTCTAGACAGATGAATATCATATTCTTTATACGGGGAATATTTCTCACAACTGATATGCAGATATTGTCTACTTAATTTATTGCATATTCCTTTATTTAATCTTTTTATATTATGTGGATCTTGGGCAGATACCCAGGTTTGCTTTTGAGAAATTTCCTGGATCAGAACCAATTCTGACAACTCAAATGAAGTCTGTCGGTGAATCCATGGCTATAGGCAGAACATTCCAAGAGTCATTTCAAAAAGCACTCCGGTCTTTAGAATCTGGTTATTCTGGGTGGGGTTGTGCAACTGTTAAAGAGCTGAGCTGGGACTGGGAAAAATTAAAGTACAGCCTTAGAGTCCCTAACCCTGATCGCATTCACGCCATATATGCTGCCATGAAAAGGGGGATGAAGGTTAACAACATTCATGAGGTCAGTTACATCGATAAGTGGTTCCTTGCACAACTTAAGGAACTTGTTGATATTGAGCAATACCTTTTGGTTCACGATTTGTCGACATTGACAAAGGAAGATTTGTATGAGGTGAAAAAAAGGGGTTTTAGTGACAAACAGATAGCCTTCGCATTGAAATCCACAGAGAAAGAAGTCCGTATGAAGCGCCTGTCATTTGGCATCAAACCCGCGTATAAGAGGGTTGATACATGTGCTGCAGAATTTGAAGCTGATACACCTTATATGTACTCAACTTATGACTTCGAGTGTGAATCGGGTCCCACAGAGAGGAAGAAGGTTTTGATTTTGGGCGGCGGACCGAACCGGATTGGACAGGGAATTGAGTTTGATTACTGCTGCTGCCACACCTCTTTTGCTCTTCAGGTATGTGCTTTACATAATCGCTTAGGAGTCTAAGCTAGTCATCTTGTCTTTACACTACATTTCTCAATGGCTATATATTAGAAAAGCTTGAGACTTTACTTGAGGGCTTGTTTGTTTGGGGGATTCTGGATGGGAGAGAGTTCAATGTTTTTTTATTTTATTTTTATACTAATAGTGTAATGCATCTCTATTTTTCAGTCTAAGACTAGGAAATAACTACTGGTATATGATTAGTTTAATCACGCATTTTATTTTTTTATAACTTTCTTTCCGACAAACTGACAAAGTAATACTCCCTCCGTCCCCCTAATATTGGTACGGAAGGGAGTGGTGTGGTTTTTAAAAAAAGTAGAATTGTGTGGTTGATAATGAGTTATAAAGTGGGAATAAAGTAAGAAGGAATTAGAGCCACACAAATGTTACCAAATATGGTATGAGACAATAATAGGGGGACATCCAAAAATGGAAAAATGGGACAATTATAAGGGGACGGAGGGAGTAATAAATTAATGATAAAAATAAAAAATAAAAATGAGCCATCCCCTCCCAAACCCCCAACAAAACAAGCGCTCAATGCTATCATGCAGATTCTCATATGAGCTCTTGAGTCGTAGTCTTAAATGTGCATCCATTTATTAAAATGTTTGGTTGGATTGTCTCTATATCAGCGGAAAATTAGAATTGTAATGACTGTAAAATATTAAGTTTTGACAGCATGAATTGACGAGTTCAAACTTCAAAAGTTCTTGTAGTCTTTTAGAGATCACTGTTACTAACTTGGATAAATAATTGAGAAAATTACTCTAGGTATGACTAAAACTCATCCACTTTCTCAATCTATGATTTCATTAGTTTTTTCCCCAAAGTAATATATAAATTCATATTAATTAATTAATAATTTTTATGGACTAATATGCCCTTAGATTGATATTATTAAACCCCAACTTTCTATTCATTTTTTAAACAACCTAGCCACTAGCCCGCCGCCCCGTCGCCGCGGCACTCGCCGCCCCTGTCGCCGCGGCACTCGCCGCCCCTGTCGCCGCGGCATCTTCCGCCCCGTTGCCCAGTTGCCCATACAATGCTCATGTCATGCTACTAGAATGCATAACTTGATTATGTAAAGCCAAGACAGGCAAACATTGAAAACATCAAATTAATGAATTCAACTTTTGTGATTTACTGATTTTGGGTGATGTATGTTTGCAGGATGCTGGCTATGAAACAATAATGATGAACTCAAACCCTGAGACAGTTTCTACGGATTATGACACAAGTGATCGTCTCTACTTTGAACCTCTCACAGTTGAAGATGTCCTCAATGTAATTGATCTGGAAAGACCCGATGGCATCATTGTACAGTTTGGCGGTCAGACCCCACTGAAACTGTCCCTTCCAATTGAGCAATACTTGGGTGAAACCAAACTCGAGTCCAGAAGTGGAGCTGGCTATGTTCGTATATGGGGCACCTCACCTGATTCCATAGATGCCGCTGAGGATCGGGAGAGGTTCAACATCATCTTAAATGAATTAATGATTGAGCAGCCAAAAGGTGGCATTGCCAAGAGCGAAAAAGATGCTCTTTCCATCGCAGAAGATATTGAATATCCAGTTGTCGTGCGACCTTCCTATGTCTTGGGTGGTCGGGCCATGGAGATTGTCTACAACAATGACAAGCTTGTGAAGTACCTCCAAAATGCAGTCGAGGTAGATCCAAATCGACCGGTTTTGATTGACAAGTATTTGTCTGATGCCGTAGAGATTGATGTTGATGCTCTTGCTGACTCACACGGTAACGTGGTGATCGGTGGGATCATGGAGCATATCGAGCAGGCCGGGATCCACTCGGGTGACTCAGCTTGCATGCTTCCTACCCAAACCGTCTCATCATCATGCCTCGACACGATCCGGTCGTGGACCACGAAATTAGCAAAGAGGCTAAAAGTGGTTGGGCTGATGAACTGTCAATATGCCATCACGGCTTCGGGTGATGTTTTCTTGCTCGAGGCCAATCCGCGGGCATCGCGTACTGTCCCCTTCGTGTCCAAGTCGATCGGGCACCCGTTGGCCAAATACGCGTCGCTTGTGATGTCTGGAAAATCCCTCCATGACATAAACTTCACCGAAGAGGTCATCCCGAGGCACGTGTCGGTCAAGGAGGCAGTCCTCCCGTTTGAGAAGTTTCAAGGGTGTGACGTGCTGCTGGGCCCCGAGATGCGGAGCACGGGTGAGGTGATGGGTATACACTCCGAGCCATCAATTGCTTTTGCCAAGGCCCAGATAGCAGCGGGCCAGAAGCTGCCACTGTCAGGGACTCTTTTCCTCAGCTTGAATGACTTGACAAAGCCGCACCTTGTCACCATAGCTCGTGCTTTCCTGGAGGTCGGGTTCAAGTTGGTCGCGACTTGTGGGACCGCACACGTGCTCGAGTTGGAAGGGGTTCCGGTGGAGAGAGTGCTGAAGATGCATGAGGGTAGGCCTCATGCAGGCGACTTGATTGCCAATGGGCAGATTCAGTTGAGTGTGATCACTAGCTCGGGGGACACACTGGACCAGATTGATGGGCGAAGGCTGAGGAGGATGGCACTTGGGTATAAGATTCCAGTGATCACAACGGTTGCTGGGGCCTTGGCTTCCGCCCAGGCAATTAAGAGCTTGAAATCCAACAAGATTGAGATGTCTGCTCTTCAGGACTACTTCCACACTCCTCAGGAGGATTCAGAGAGTAGCGATAATCTGTTGCAGTCTTCAGCAGTGTCCATTTCTTCAAGCCGCTGATCAGACTATGATTACTGTTATTGTGATTAAATAAAGTCCAATTCATCTTTATTTATTTGATGTTTTTGATATCTCTCAGCACTCCATTTCATGCCGCACTATTATGGTTTCATTGGTTTGGTAATAATTGATGCATTTTCCTATGCTCCCAACTAACCTATTGCTTCTATCTTTATTTTTTGTAGACTAATCACTAATGGTTCATAACTGTAAATTAATTAAAGGATTAGCATTGCTGTATCTACTGTTCGAGGGTGGCAACATTCTATCATGGCTCCAACTCTCCCATTCTAAAACCAGGCCAAGCCCAGTGAGACTGTGAGTAACTGGATAATTGGATATAGCGTGAAAGACAAGTAGACAACGTTATAACCTTGTAACCCTGTGATGTAAAAGTCAGCGGTTCACAGGATAGTGTAAAAAGATGACAAGAACTCACTTAATGTTGCAATACTCATAGATTCAAGCAACTCTTGAATTAGAACCAAGTCATCCAGCATCTGATATCTTTTATAGCTATATGCATTTTATTGTAATTCTAAAAAAGCTCATCACAAAGGTGATGTTCTAGACTTCCAGACCCAAATTTGGAACACCATAAGATGTTTCTTTTCATGGAAAATAGGGGTGTTTTCAATCTTTGAAGTAAAGAATAGTAAAAATGTAGACTTTGGGTGTTTGAGATATTAAACTTATGCTACCCATCACAAAAGACACCAAGGGTATGTATGATAAGATCATGAAAGTTGAGTGCATTAGAGAGAGCAATGTGTACAACAAACCAATTGTTGTGATTTTGGGTTTAAATGTTTAATTAATTAGTGTATGCGAGTGTTTAGAATTGAATCTACTTCTACTTCTTTTTTAAAAGCAGAAGTAAAATCAAAAGCAGTTATTCAAAAATTGATCTTCATCAGTTTCTAAAAACTGCTTCTATGGCTCTTAAAAATACTTCTTCACTTTTACAAGGTAGATTCAAACGTCCCTATATGCAAAAAAAAAATGTGCATTGATTCGTTAAGGAAGATGGGTCTAAGATATTTCGAGTTAGCCTTGGTGTTATTTTAGAAGTATTAATTTTTTTCAGAATTTCAGTAACACACATGTATAAAGATAATATGATTTTTTTTTTAAATCTGGTCACTTTATTAATTTTATAGGGATCATTTTTTAACATGAAAACGAGATATGGGGTGAAAAGGAAAAAAATAAGGATTCAAAGTTTAATTAGTGACAAGTATAGTGTGATCGTCGTGAAAAGGGTTAGATAGGCCCTCGAACTTATATAAAAAAGTCAAATAAGCCCTTATATAGGAGGCTTTGTCCGGTCGTCGCCATTTGGGGCGATTCCCGGTGGAATTTTTTGATGAAATTTTTTGAGCATCTTACTCATTAAGTCAATTTTATTCATACCAAATTTCAGCTAACAATTCAATCGGAAAGACATTCAAATGAATTCTTGAAGATAGCTGCGTTTTTAACTGCACAATTATCTTCAAGAATTCATTTGAATGTCTTTCCGATTGAAATTTTAGGTGGACTTTGATTTGAGTAAACTATATTAATGAGTTAACAAGTAAGATGGTCAAGAAATTTCGTGAAAAAAATTGTAGGGGGAACCGCTTCTACGCGGGATAGTGCCTCCTATAGTCCTATACAGGATGCAAGCCAACGCGGAACTCGGGGATAGGAAATGATCATAAATTCGCGGCTGACCTAAAATGTACCGCCATCACATCATCGCTGAACGTGGATGTGATTTATAAAGTACCCAATTTCTTCTCCTTAGTCTCTCGTGCAAGCTGTAGTGTTCTTCAAGCTAGAAGCACGCATCTCAGCTCCTTTCTCTGCATCTCGATAAAGGTATGTGCTCAACTCGGACTTCTCATTATGAGCTTACTTAAGTGAATTCATGTCTTAGATTCTGATTTCACTGTTTTCTGTCACATCTTTTGTTCTGATCGATAGATCTGCTTAGGTTTAGGTATGCTTGATTGGTTATCTGTTTAAGCTGATCAGTGCAATATCTGGTTACCTTTTGAGATCTTATCGATTTATATCCATTAGAGTTGATTTTTGTTCATGTTTTGTATCATGTTATGATATTGTTTAGGTTGTCAAGCTCAGCATAATTTTATAGTCAACTTGAAGCTTTTGTTGCATGACTTGGTTATAGTTCGGAATATGATTTAATTTTCCAGTGATGAACGGAATTGTTCATTATTATATCACTTAACAAGCGTTATCTTCGCTTGATAGGTTATATCCACTATTGTCACATTTATCAGATGCGTTAGTTCTAGAAATATTGATTTTAATACTTGGTCACTTCAACAGTTCAACGTAAGTTTATGTTGTTCAACTCTATTGTATGACCTTACTTTGCATAACATGTGTTTAATGCGCATCATTAACGTAGTTGCTTTTTCCGGTACTGCAGTTTTAATCAGAAGTTCAGAATGGGTAAGGAGAAGGTTCATATCAGCTTGGTGGTCATTGGACATGTTGACTCCGGCAAGTCGACCACAACTGGTCACTTAATTTACAAGCTTGGAGGGATTGACAAGCGTGTGATTGAGAGGTTTGAGAAGGAAGCTGCAGAAATGAACAAGAGGTCATTCAAGTACGCATGGGTTCTTGACAAGCTCAAAGCTGAGCGTGAACGTGGTATTACCATTGATATCGCCCTGTGGAAATTTGAGACCACTAAATACTACTGCACGGTCATTGATGCCCCTGGACATCGTGATTTCATCAAAAACATGATCACAGGCACCTCACAGGCTGACTGTGCTGTTCTGATCATCGACTCCACAACTGGTGGGTTTGAAGCTGGTATTTCAAAGGATGGTCAGACTCGTGAACACGCTTTGCTTGCTTTCACCTTGGGTGTCAAGCAAATGATATGCTGCTGTAACAAGGTCTATTTTTAATTATAGTTCTTATGATGTTTGCATATTATACCAAATATTATCCGCTTTCCTAGAGAGAGTTGTTTCACCAATGGACAACTTTTTTATTATGGTCAAGTATAACTGCCATAAATCATGAATTTTAGTATTTCTAAAATGTATTTCTTGGGTTAACTAAACATGAATTATAGTATATTTAAAATTTATTTGTTCAAATAACCAAGTAACTTTTTCTTGAGTAGTTAATTCTCTTTTTTTTTGAATTTTTTTGCGGATGACATAGAAAGCTAGACTTGATTGTCTGGAACATGATATAGTACTGTCTTATAATTTATCAAATGAATGATATCTACTAACCTTGGTAATTATCTTCTTTGTTTGGTGATTTATCTCTTCAGATGGACGCCACCACCCCAAAGTATTCTAAGGCTAGGTATGAAGAAATTGTGAAGGAAGTATCATCATACCTGAAGAAGGTTGGATACAACCCTGAAAAAATCCCATTCGTGCCCATCTCTGGTTTTGAGGGTGACAACATGATTGAGAGATCAACCAACCTTGAATGGTACAAGGGGCCCACCCTTCTGGATGCTCTAGATCAAATCACTGAGCCAAAGAGGCCATCAGACAAGCCACTCCGGCTCCCACTTCAGGATGTCTACAAGATTGGTGGAATTGGAACTGTTCCCGTTGGACGTGTAGAGACTGGTGTTATTAAGCCAGGTATGCTGGTTACGTTTGCGCCCTCCGGTTTGACCACGGAAGTCAAGTCTGTTGAGATGCACCATGAATCCCTTCTGGAGGCACACCCAGGTGACAACGTCGGATTCAATGTGAAGAATGTTGCAGTCAAGGATCTGAAACGTGGGTACGTTGCATCTGACTCGAAGAATGACCCTGCCCGGGAAGCTGCTAGCTTCATATCTCAGGTCATCATCATGAATCACCCTGGTCAGATCGGCAATGGGTATGCCCCGGTTCTGGACTGCCACACCTCCCACATTGCTGTGAAGTTTGCTGAGATAGTGACTAAGATTGACAGGCGGTCTGGTAAGGAGCTTGAGAAGGAACCCAAGTTCTTGAAGAATGGTGATGCTGGTTTTGTGAAGATGGTTCCGTCTAAACCAATGGTTGTTGAGACTTTCTCCGAGTACCCACCACTTGGCCGTTTTGCTGTAAGGGATATGAGGCAAACGGTTGCTGTCGGTGTCATTAAGAGTGTTGAGAAGAAGGATCCTACTGGTGCTAAGGTCACTAAGTCTGCCCTGAAGAAGAAGTGATAAACAACTGCTGCTTCTGCCAATCAGCCAATGAGATTTCAATTACTTGATCCTTTTTGTGTCATTTAAATTTTGTCATACTAGTTTGTATTTTGGGCTCCTTCCAGTGGCTCCCCCCATTGTGGGAGAATCTAAACAGTCACTACTCACTACTCCCCAATACGTTGTACCCTTAAAAGTTTTGAATTGAGATGGTGTCAATGTGAAAGTTTCAGTCTTGCTTTTACTCCTATTCATTTTGCAATGTATTGTCTTGTCTTATCCATAGATGCCAATACAACTCTGTAAGACTAACTAATTGCGGTTTCTGAAAAGAGTTTACCATGCTAACTTTAATATGTTGCTCTTTTTTGGATGAAATATAAGTACTCCCAAAAATAATATGTATATATTAACACCCAAAAATAATATGTATATCCGTATATATTAACACGCCCAAAAACAATATGTATATCCATATAAACACCCAAAAATAATATGTATAGCATATGTCCAGACGATAAGAAAAGGGCAATTGTATGAGCATCTCCAATAGCGATGGAAATTGCACCCCACAAAAAATGGACACGTAAGCCGTATAAACAGCCTGTGAAACTGATATAGATGGATAGCCAATTACGATCATATTGCATCTCCAATGGAATCTGTCGTTCTTTTATTCTCTAAACAATAAAATTTAAATTAATTACTCTGCATACCTAAACCGGATCTGGACTAGGATCCAGGTCCAAGTGTAACCTGAAACCCTAAAATTTAAAACAGAACGGTTTGGGTCTGGATCCTAGACCAGAATCGGTTTCGGTCTGAATCCTAGACCGGAATCGTCCGGTTTAAACTGCGACCGGAAAATGAGGTCCCGATCCACAACCAAAACCAGACCGGTCGGAAAGTAGTCCCGAGCCTCCATTTTTTAGACTGGAGGCAATCAGGACCAGGACCGGACCAGTTCTATTTAGTTTTTTTTTGTTATGAAACAATTGGATAACATTTCATAAGAATTAGGGGTCCATTTAAAAGTTTAAAAGAGGTGCAGATGAAGTCATGATGGTAAAGAGGGCAATAGAAGTATTATTAAAAAAAATAAAGTCTAAAACCGGACCAGGATAGGTGGGGGATCAGAACCGGCCGGGAACCAGAGATAGAGGTCTCGGGCCTCCATATATTTTTCCAAAGACCGGTCAGTTCGGGACAAAAACCGGCCCGGTCCAGGAGTGGGTCCATGACTAACTCCAGCCCTAATTCCACAAGAAAGCTCACAAGAAGAAAACTGGGAGTAAATCGCTTGGGCTATTGAGATTCAAGAGTGTTTTGTTAACCATTACCATTACCCAGTTAAACATCTTTGCATGTAGATCTGAACCTTCCCATGTTCAAATTTAGAACTAATTGAGATACGGGAATAATAATGGAAATGAAACTGTTTCATTTAATAAAACGTGATTTCTACTGTTTCCACGAGAAGAACAAGCGTAATGATAGGTATCCAGGATAAAGGGCCAGGAAAAGAAAAGGAAAAAACTAAATTACAACCATTGTCCGATCTAAATACCACTCTTGATGTCAGGCAGGAAAATTCACATTCCGTGTTTTTGTGTCTACGGCTCTACACGTTTCCAGCAAATGATGCAAATCTGCTCCATGTAGACAAATTTATAGGGTTAAGAATCAGTAATATACCAAGTAACAACTTTAACAGTTAAACCACATACACCAAAAGAACTTGTAAATTATTCAAACAGACATTGGATCAGAAAAAACACTTCAAAAAACTACAGTATGAGAACTCTGTAAATCTTACTTGAATAACAAATTATAATTCTTTGTCCTCATCACTTTCAGCTTTTCTTTCCGCCTTTTCTGTTTCTTCTAATGCAAACAATTTCAGTGACTCCACATCTCTTGGCCCTGTTACAAAAAAACAAAGCAAGGGAGTATGAGTTCTATATTCGTCAGAATAAAATGTATGCAAAGTCGTCTTCGACAAGTATTTACTCGGTACAATTTTATGTCTTTCAAAATACATGATCAGTATTGGCTGCATCAAGAGTTTAACTGAGATCTCAAAGCTTATTAAATATTACTCACTCATGTATGGATGTGCTTATTCTTCAGTCCTCATATGTTAGTGTATCATTTAATCCTTGGTCCATACTCCATAGAGTGCCCATTATATGGATATTATTTTTAACTTATATATATATATATATATATATATATATATATATATATATATATATAGAGAGAGAGAGAGAGAGAGAGAGAGAGAGAGATGATCCTGTCCAGCACTCCCCCTTCCGAACGCCATCCGAACACTGCCGTTTGGGGCGGTTCCCGGTGTAATTTTTTAATGAAATTTTTTGAGCATGTTCCTCATCAAGTCTAGTTTATCCACAAAAAATTTCAGCTCAAAATTCGATCGGGAAGGCAGTCAAATCATTTTTTGAAGTTGACTGCGCCAAAATATACATATAAAAACGCAGTCAACTTCAAAAAATAATTTGACTGCCTTTCAAATCGAATTTTGAGCTGAAATTTTTTGTGGATAAACTAGACTTAATGAGAAACATGCTCAAAAAAAATCATCAAAAAATTCCACCGGGAACCGCCCCAAACGGCGGTGTTTGGACGGCGTTCGGACGGGGGAGTGCTGGACAGGATCATTTCTCTCTCTCTCTCTCTCTCTCTCTCTCTCTCTCTATATATATATATATATATATATATATATATATATGTATGTATGTATGTATGTATATATAAGCTTACCAGCTCCTCTTTGGCTTGGATGGTTTGATAAGATACTCCAAACCACCACGTCAAAAGTTCGAAGCTGGTAGTAGAAGAGGAGGAAAGAAGATGATATGTATAAGCTTAAAGCAAAGTATGTTATATATACATTAAATATGAGTAGACAATATATATCTTCTGTCCCATTGAACTTCACCAACTTTCCTTTTTTTATTGTCCCAAAAACTTTGTCACTTTCTTATAAAAGTAACTAATTTGTGGTGTTGCTCATTTCTCTCTCCCTTGCACAAAGCTCAACCACACAATTTTTACTTTTATTAATTGTCACCCAATTCAAAATTGGCAATGTCCAATGGGACAGAGGTAATATAATTCTGTGCATAATATGTCTGGTAGATTAACAACTAAAGTAAGGCACCCCTGAACATATCTAGAATGAGCATAAATCATTGGCAATGAATTAAATTCACATCTCTTTCTAAATAAAAATAATGCAGGCCCTCATCATGTACATGAAATGATTCAACAGAGATGAAATGATTAAAGTTGACAAGCAGCAATTATAAACCAATGAAGCGTTAGTCTTTAACCGTTGCATTTTGATCATTGTTCAGTGACTTAAATAAAACCTATTTTTAAAGGATATGACACGCACATTTTACAATTACTTACTTTTTAAACTTTCCAGATGGTGATGGAGGGGAGAAAAGTAAAGAATAGTAAAGAAAAAGGGGTCTTTTGAAGTTTCATATTAGAGTATTAGATTTGCATTCTACCATTATATAAGGGGTTGCCAGGAACAAGAGAATTATCAAAAAAGGATGTTGTGGAACTCAATAAAAACCAATCTATCATTCCTTTCTTTCTCTTTAAGCTAGAAAACATCGACATCCCCTTACAAGCCAATGATATCATGACAACCCATACCACAGATTCTTCCTGATTTGCATTCATATAGATGACTATTTTCCCATCTTTATAGCCCCAAACAAAAAATCCCTTTGTCTTGGTTTGGTAGAAGCACTATACTTTAATTCCGTCACATCATTATTTGCATTTCCAAATTTTGAATCCATTAACTTTTGCTTCCCCAATTTCTCATTCTATCTACCATTTCACCTTTTATACTTTGATGGGTCCTGAATTTCTTTTCTTCTTCAGTAAAAGGTTACAATGGTAAAAAGTGTGACAACCCCAAATGTAAGATACACCATGGAATAGATAGAGTAAGGAGTAACTATTACTCCCTCTGTCCGTTTCTTTTGCCAATTTTCCTTATTAAGCAGTCCCAAAAAGGTTTACCAATTTCCATTTGAAAAATAAATTTGTAGCTTATACTATTTCTCACTCCTCTACAAACGCCTTAACCACCCAATTTTAACTTCCTTATTATGCATGCCAGTCAAACATGACAAACTATAGGGTAATGTAGGAATGATACTTACTTGGAAAGTATTAAGTCGTTTTCTCATTAGCAACCAGCTAGAAATTTGAAGAATAAAACCCACAGAAAGCAGACATAATATGGAAATGCTGATGAGATAAAAAAAAGGTTACCTTGATATTTAGCAGCCTCTTCTCCATTGTAAAAGAGCTTGAATGTTGGATAAGAATGGATATCAACCTTTTGACAAACTGATTTAGTTGTGCCACAATCAACCTCTCCAATCTCTATCGTGTCCTCTCCTTCTATTGCCTTTCCTAAATCTTCCCATAATGTTCCCAAGTTTTTACTTTAAAAAAGAAGAGAAAAAAACAAGATAAGGAAAAATGGAGTATAAAGATGTATAAAGATGTCTGTAAAGAAAAAATGGAGTATTACATTGTCAAGCGATCAAAGAAAAAGGAAAAACCCACTGCAGTTAGATTATTGCTTGGGTGATACTCCCTACATCCCATTATAATTGTCCCATTTTCCGTCCGTCCCAATAAATTTGTCCCATACCATATTTGGTGATATTTGTGTGGCTCTAATTCATTCTTATTTTATTCTCACTTTATCAATTCATTATCAGCCACATTACTCTACTTTTCTTAAAAATCGCACCACTCTCCTTTTCACATTCTTAGGGGGGCAGAGGTAGTATTTAATAATTTCTGTAGTGTAAGCCTGTAAGGAACTTATTTTAATGAGAAGCCTAAGGACTCTTCACAATCACATGCATCAAGTTCCAAAGAGTTCTTCTAAATCTCTTTGTATATCATAAATCATTTAGTAAAAGAATAATGATAAACCATGTGAAATGACAAACAAGCTCTAGAGCCGGGATAGTTAGTGTTAAGGACAGATATGAAACAAAGCAGTAAGAGACTGAAATTCTTACCAATGCTTACACCAAGGTACACAGAATTTCACAAACCAAGCAGTGTGCTTCTCACTTATCTAAAAATGATATGATTTAAAACATATCAGTCTGGAATCAAGCCCACAGTAAGCAGAATATAATTAAATAATGACAGTAGGGAAACAACCGCCACACATCATTGTAAGGAAACAAACACATTAATAATGGCCATAAAGTAGAATCCACTGCAAGGAAATTGCATATCACTGCACTCTCGATTTTGATCTTGAGTCATGTGTCTGCAACTTAAATTTTTTATAAGGAGATGTCATTTTAGAAGATAAAATCAAATGCTCTGGTAGCACATGCAGCAATGCTACCATTTCAGAGTTGGCAGCGCTATGGCACATTGATTTGAGTTGTCACCGCTAGAGTTTGATTGTGCACGGAAGTAATGTGAATAAATAAATCATCAGATATATGCCTCTGCTAATTTGTAAAAGGATGGAGATAATTCATTCATACAAGTTTTTATAATTAAAGTTTTTATATTAATATTTTATTTAGTGAACATGGGTAGAGCAAAGCCTGAGTCGGTCCCTAGATACGCCAGTGCCTTGAAAAATGCACAAAACGATGACAAACTAAATGAGAGTTTACACACACAGTACATCCGAACTTGGAGATGGCACAAAAGAAAAACTGATTTTTGTCTTATACCCCATTCATCCCAAAAAGGTTCTTTCTTTGACTTGGCACACTTATTAAGAACACTGAATTTGTGAGGTTGAGATTTATATCGAAGAGAGAGAAATATGAGTCACAACAATTCTTTCTTTAAAAAGATGAACCTTATTTCAGAATAGACAAAAAGGAAATTAGGAATTTGAGAAAAAAACGGTATATATGATATATAAAAAATTAGGGGGTGGCTAACGGCTACAAACCTTATGTTAATTACATAAGCCCTGTCACAGGGTCAGTTTGAACGGAGGGTTTTTGTAAGGTTTGGAAGGAATTTTTTGGGGGAGGAGTTCTATACTCTATTTCTTAATAAATATTTGAGATTTTACAATATAATGAAAAGAATAACATAATAAGTGATCATATAGCATTTTAGTCACCTTCATTATACTATGTATTTCAAGAAGCAATATGTTTATCAAGAAAAAGACTAAGCCCTCCAAAGCATTCTCCTTCAACCATGCAAAATATTCCATTCGAACTGGCTCTAAACCAACATTACCTTGGCACCACAGTGTGCAGCATAATAGGTGAACACACAAAAATCCATTTATCTCAGTTTGGTACATCATACTAGTTGACTACATAGAGATTAATAAGATCAAGTGTTGAGGAGTTAGGAAACTCGACTTTTTCTCTCCTCAGCTGGATGTAAATCTAGCATGTGAAATAAAAGACCAAACTCCAAATCCAGGCCAACGAACTAACGATGCAAATTTTCAAACTTGGATAGCTTTAGCTAAATATGAAAGACGTCTAAATTAAAGTATAAGCAATTTGTCTTCCAAAACAACGATTCGAAGCATTGATAAAAAAGAGTATAGCCTGTTTATCTTACCTTATCATTGAAGGTCTCGGCCGTGAGCGTAATGACCTCAGATTTACTAATATGCATACAACATAGCACTAAAAGGGAAGAAATCAATATTGTATAAAAAACTCGACTTTTTCTCTCCTCAGCTGGATGTAAATCTAGCATGTGAAATAAAAGACCAAATTCCAAATCCAGGCCAACGAACTAACGATGCAAATTTTCAAACTTGGATAGCTTTAGCTAAATATGAAAGACGTCTAAATTAAAGTATAAGCAATTTGTCTTCCAAAACAACGATTCGAAGCATTGATAAAAAAGAGTATAGCCTGTTTATCTTACCTTATCATTGAAGGTCTCGGCCGTGAGCGTAATGACCTCAGATTTACTAATATGCATACAACATAGCACTAAAAGGGAAGAAATCAATATTGTATAAAAATATCTCATTGTTGCTCTCTGTGGATTCTCAGAATTTATCTTCTGTGACAGGTTTACCCGAGTGGCAGTGTAGAGAACGACGGCAGATTTGGGCCTGTTCCAGGAGAATTAGCCACTGGAATGCCTGCTGCCTCCCTTCTTAAATTTTTACATTATTCACATGTTTTATTTTTACTACATTTTATTTATTAACGTAATAATATTATTTTATGAAAAAAAATATTGTTAAATTTGTCTCATTGTAAATTTTCATAATCTAATTTTTTTAATTTTTTTACTAATACAAAATCATTTATATTAATGATCAAAGTTGTGTCTCGACAAGTGTGATATGTTGACCGTTGCATTTATTCAAGTACTTCTTTTAGAGTTTTTTTAGTTCTATTGAAAGTATAAAATAATTTAATCAGAGGAAAAGGAGCAAATAAACTCAGGTATTAACAAAAAAAAGTTCAAATAATCTCTTATAGCTATGTCCGACCGCTGTCATTTGAGGCAATTCTCGGAGGATTTTTTTAATGAAATTTTTTTAGAATCTTATTCATTAACCCTAGTTTACACATACCAAATTTCAGGTAACAATTCAATTAGGAAGACATTCAAATAAATTCTTGAAAATAATTGCGCAATTATCTTCAAGAATTCATTTGAATGCCTTCCCGATTCAAGTTTTAGCTGAAATTTGGTATGAGTAAATTAGACTTAATGAATAACATGCTCAAAAAATTGCATCAAAAATTTCCACCGGAAACCGCCACAAATGACGACGTCCGGACATAACCTCCTATATAAGGTCTTATTTGACCCTTTTTTGTTAGTACGTGGGCTTATTTGCCCCTTTTATCTTTAATCAGAAATGATGTGTGTTAATCTAAGAAAAACTATATCTAATTGTGTATTTTGCTTATATTTTGCTCTTATTTAAAGAACTTTTTCATTTTTGCACCTTTTTTATGGAGTGTTGTTTGCGCTTTTGAAAAAAAAATTGAGTTTAGACATTATATAAATAAAAGACTAGTAGTTAACCCCAACGGTAGTATAAAAGCCACCACTCCAAGTGGCGGCTCTTGCGAAGATATACAAGAGCTGCCACTTGGAGTTGCGGCTTTGCTTAACCGTGGTTAACCTCAACAATATTTTGGGAATTATTCTTAACCCGACAGTATTTCGGGAATAATTTATTTAATTAGCATTATTCCGGGAAAAAACTCATTAAAGTTGATAAAATTTGAGGAAAAGGGGCTTTTGAAAAATAAAAGTCGCAAATTTGAAAAATAAATGTTATTTGTTTAATAGAAAAATTGAAAAACCGTTAAAGGTAACCATCTACTTAGTTACATCTTTAAGCTTTAAAGCGATTTATTTAAATAAAAGCACTTGTTTGAAAACATCTTATACTCCTTCCGTCCCAAAATTATTGTCCCGCTTTCCATTTCAATCTGTCCCGAAATAATTGTCTCGTTTCTAAAACTTCCTTATTTGGTAAACAAATCTATACCAAACAGTGCAAAACAGTGCAAAACAGTGTCGCTACAGTGCCAAACAGTGTCGCTACAGTGTCAAACAGTGTCGCTACAGTGTCATTTTCTTAATCTGTGTGAAAAACTAAATGGGACAACAATTTTGGGACGGAGGGAGTAGCTTTTTAAAGCTAAAGTTGAAAAGTCTTATTTAAGCAATGGAAAAGGGTCTCTTAATTCTTTATTTATTCGTATATGCCAATATGAGGTCTTTTCTATTGGATCAATGATATCTTCACTTACTATTTCTTCACCCGTGCATTGCATGGGTATTTAATTTTTCAGTAATTTCGAGTTCTAATTTAAGTACATGTATTATAAATTAATTTGATATATGAGTTATATTTTATGTTTTACTTTGAGAGTGTATGTAATGCCAAAAGATCCATCATAAGCGTTATAATAAAACATGTATTTTAATATTTTATTCACTTGTATGTAATACGACAAAGCGTTTACAAATTTTTGAACACTTCCTTATACACTACACTACATTAAGTGTAGAATTGCTAGGCTCGCCTTTATCATCACATATCATGAATTTTAATCTTGGTGGATTTGTAACCCTAGATACCGCCACATACAACTGACCATGGGTAAACATCGGGCGACATAAGAAGATGCTTACTCTTTCAAGCGACCGACCTTGACTCTTGTTGATGGTCATCATATCATGAATTTTCGTCACATAAAACTGACCATGGGTAAACATCGGCGCGACGTAAGAAGATGCCTACTCTTTCAAGCGATCGACCTTGACTCTTGTTGATGGTCATCGCGTAACTAACCATCAATGGTAATTGACTAATTGCCTACGCTGAAACATGAATGCCAATCTAACATCGGACGGTGTAAGTTTTAGCCTTGGAATATAGACCCTCTTACCAGCATTTGACTCGGTCAATATTTGAGCCTCAATAATATTATCTCCAAGTCGGGTCACAATAAGTCGAGTACCATTGCATAACCCCGAAGAGAAATTAATATTCCTCATGAGCATGACAGGTATACCTACCATTAACCTAATTTCATGTGCCGGGACTCTCAAACATTGTATTCCATTAAGGATTTTGGGTGAATGGATCTCGCCAATCAGATTGTTTTCATAATCAAAAGAGGATGTCGAATCACTGCTTAGATAGATCTTCTCTTCAGAAGTAATCAAACTCAACATGTAATTATTTATCATATCTACATCCTCTATTGTTGGTGCAAGAATGGCTCTAGAAGTCAAATAAGAAGGATTGGTTCCATTTTTCAAGAAATCAGGGTATGTACACCTCACAATGATTCTATAGGATTGGATATGAAAGGAGCGAGAAAACTTTGAGGTATATCAATCATTGATTCACCGTCTTCATCATCGCCTACAACACCATCTCCAATTTGCAAAATCCAATCTGCAAAACTCTTCAAAATAGCAGAACTTTTGTCACCTGTAAGCCTCATGTTCTTTGTAAGATTCAGTACCTTACAAAATTGCCACAAGTAGGAAGAGTTCAAAGTTGCATGTACAATATCTTGTCGACTACCTTTTGGAATACCTGGTAATATTTGTCTAAAATGACCACCAAATACAATTGTTTTCCCACCAAAAAGTTTAGTAGCATTACAAGTGACAGTGAATCGAAGGATGTCCCTCATAGTGCGATCAAGAACTTCAAAGCAATACTTATTTGTCATTGGAGCCTCATCCCAAATAATTAAGCTTGTCATTTAAATTAAGGGAATAAGACTAAAAGATAGGAAGGGAACTTAAATAAGACTCCGATCTTTTTAACTCCCATCTAGGACTAATTTTGATGTTGCGAGACAAAAATACCCCGCCTCTTAAAATACGCCCAACTCCCATCTGGATGCACACGTTCTCGTACAATTGCTCTATGCCCAACGATCTTTTTTTTGCTCTATGTCCAGCTCGTAAATCGATGACTCCGTCCCTGTTGGAGTCCATGTCAGCTAATAGCAACAGGATCTTGCTCTTCTTGAGCCCTAAGCCGTGGAGCAGAGTTGCCAACCCTAACACCGTCAACCTTCGTCGCAATCCATGTTGAATCTCAAGAATATGATTTTGAATTGTTTCTATTGGTCAAGCTTCAAATCGATTGACATTTCAATCCCACAATAAATGGGACGGATAGCCCTTTTTAATTTGTTTGGAGTGCACCAAAGTAATTAGAAAGCAGAGATGGGAGACGGTAAAGTGAAGCTGTATCATGCGTTAACTTTGCCAAAAGGGAAACATGTTAACACTAATGGTGCAGGTGATGCATTTGTGAGAGCGCATTAGAGCAGGTTGCTATGCAGTAAGCGTTATCATCCAGAGGCCTGAGAAGCTTGATTTTGAGTAAAGGCGGCCGGCAGTTTACTGCAGGATTTGACCCTTATAATGATATTATAGAGTATAACTGATGAACACATTCCAGAGATCCTAGGCCTGATGTCAATATTACATATTATGACATTGTAATAATGACAATGTCATAATAAGTCAATGACAATGTCATAAGAATGTCAATGACAATGTCATAAGAATGTCCATAAAAAACAATGTCAATGACAATGTCATAAGATGTCAATGACAATGTCATAAGAATGTCAATGACAAAGTCATAAGAATGTCAATAGAAAACAATGTCAGTGACAATGTCATAAGAATGTCAATGACAATGTCATATGAATGCCAATGACAATGTCATAAAAATGTCAATAACAATGTCGTAAAAATAACAATGAAAGTGGAACCAAACATTTATAACAATGTTATAACATACGGAGTAAACAACCAATGAGGATGGATGCTGGACATCAAAATACAGAATCAAGTCCAATATTTCCTTTTAGACCTTTCTAAATCACCAGCATAAACTTTTTAAAGGGTGCATATGTTAGTTGATCCTGGAGCCCTGAACTACGGAAGCCACATAGTCGCGGAAGGTAAATATATATGACTAATTTTCCATTAAGCGCTGTTGTGCGCAACGAACGGACTGCGCAACGGTTGAGGCTTCCCTTTCGGACTATCAGCGACGTCGGAGGGAAACCGCCGGAGTCCGTAGCAGGCTGCCGTTTTCTACCCAAACCGAAGGAGGGCAGTCTGTTTTCCCTTCGTCAAGTTGCCGAAGTAAATTAAGACCGAGCTGCTAAGAGATGAAGACACGGGTGGCTATTTAGGAAACAGGGGCAATTTTGGAAACTTCTTAAAATTAAGTCCTATTTAGGAGTTTAAAAGGTCAAGGTCCTATTTAATTACATACGGGAAGTTAAGCTCCTATTTAGCACCATTTCTCTTAAATTAACTTGGCCAATGCACTACCATGCTTGATGTTGCATGTTGAGTCTTCTGCCGCAGTTAATGGAATTGCAAATCTAGAGTGTGTTGTACGTCCACCTGGAAGGAGAAGTGATGCAAGGGCACTGGATGCCACATTCAATACTATATATACGGCTAATATACCTCTACTAGATCTTACAGCTGCTGACAGAGTTCTCCAAAAATATGTTTTTCCGATACCACTGTGACCATACACCAAATAGATACCACTTTGATTTCCATTGACAGAAACAATGAGTATGTCATACACATTGCGTTGTTCTTCGGTCAAGTCTA